AAGGCCTAAGCGCCACTCAAGGTAGATGGTTATAGAGTAAGAGGCACAGTTTATGGAGATATAGAGTGAAGATAATGATTGACACTAGACTCGAACAGATTAAGACTGTAGTGAATGGGTAAGCATCTTCTTGGCATTGTAACACCAACATAGTGGATACACCATCAAGAATAGATGCACACTCATCAAGATGCGCATGCTTCATTTGATTCTCAAGATTAGCAGAAAGGTCATCTTTGGCTTGCCAGATTAGATCTTACTGTCATTTTAAAAACACTCTTTGTTTTTTGCTGTTACACTATTAACCTTCCATTTGACCACAGACGCCGCACTATTTTTTGTGCCTTTAATGAACTGGCTATAGATTTATCATTTTCTCCATTTTTGTGCTTTTTTATAACTTTCTTTCTCAGGTCTTCTGATGATTCTTTTGACTACATCATTATTCCATGTGTTGTTTAACTGACAATCACAGTGGGCAGGATGCAGCATATACAAGAAGAACAAATTGTCTATATATTTATATCCTTCTCCATTTTTGTGCTTTTTTATAATGCTTTTATTTCTGGTCTTCTGATAACACTTTCAATTTCATCATTGCTATAGGAATAGATAGGTTTGCCTATCATCCAGTTAGCACTTCACCCGGTCTTTTTAACAGGAGTAGATGGTTATCACTTGTTTCCTATCACGCATGAACATGCATACATAAATACAAATGTAAGCAAATATATGGATATAGATCCGACAGTATGAAGAAAAATATACAGAAAAAACAAACAAAAATCTTAATATGCAATTATGCTGTATTAATGTTAATATAAAATATTGTTCCATCGTTTTTGAAATCATTTTTGATTTGCTTTGAAACTTGGAGGACTTCAAGCTTGTATGAAGATATAAGAACCTATTGATCTCTGCATATTTCTATATCAACGGAAGGGATTTCTTGCACTGTTTATATAAAATAGTTCAATCGACTTTTTTAATATTTTAATATTTGGAAATCATCTTCGAATACGTTTTCACAACATCGCTCACATGACGACGACGTGATCATATTTAAACGGAACGCTGATCTTATATAAAAATTTCAGTTATCTGTTTGGATTAGTTGTGCTCTTATGTCCATTGTCTTTTCGTGTTGAATTTTTATATGTTGTAATGTTAATTATGTTTAAATGAAAATGTTGTAATGTTAATTATGTTTAAATGAAAATGTCCATGATAGACCGAAACGTCCGACGTCGACTTTATATTAACATTCTTACAGCATAATTGCATATTAAGATTTTTGTTTGTTTTTTCTGTATATTTTTCTTCATAAATACAAATAAAAACCACATTCAACGCCAAGCATTCATTGGTTAATTAATCACCATTACGTTATTATAGACAATTTACAAATCACAACAATGCAACAATTTTGTAATTGCTCTATTTTCATGTAGTCAGTTTTGTGCACTTTTGGGAGAAACGGATCACAGAAGCTTTCTTAAGTCTCGCCAAAGCTCGCTTGCTGATTGGTCTATGCCAACCAATCAGATCGTCTGCACGTGAAGAATAATTCTTCCCACGTAGCGAATCTGGAGCCTATAGTCACTTATTTAAGCAAGAATTTTTCTTAACTAATTAGTGAGAATTCAGCTGCCAAATGAATCCATGATAGTTGAAACCATGCACCAACCTTCTCACTCACACACACCATTCACATGCTGAACATACTTTGTATATACTCACATAATCTTTTCTAACATGGCAAATCTTTTAAGAACAGTCATTATAAGAGACTCTCATGAACATTATTCCAGTGAACTTTGAAATACTAAAATAATAGTTAAAGAGAGACAACTCTTGTTTATTTCAACTTGTTCTTACTTAAATGCATGCTTTCTTTCACATCGTTGTTTAATATTGTACATCTTGTTAAATACATATTTTATGTGTAATAATGTATTTTGCTTGTCCTTTTCTGTGTCAGCTCTGTTTCCTAATCTAAAGTTAAATTAATGTGGTGAAATCCGCCACACTGTTTAGGGCTGGGTTTGTTATTCCTTTTAAAGTATTCTCATTCACTTTCACTTCCAGTAGCCCCTTGTGTCATAGCAGTATTATCATCTTACTTGGGTTGAGCTAATTAAAATAAATGTGTTCTTTAACTGAAAAGTTCAATGTGATTGTAAACAGAAGAATATTTCCCATTATTTATAGGAAGAATCCAATGTAAATTTCATCCTAAGCAAATCACCCTTGAACAGATAGCCATCTTTGGCAATGTGAAGTAACAGTTTAAAGTGTAACAATTTTGCAAATGTGAATTAAATTTTTTGTTACGAGGGATGTGACTATTTATGTAACATAGATTTGGCAAGCTTGTCTTGCTAGAACAATTATGACAGAGTGCCCTCACTGGGTGCCCCTACATTTGGTCTTGTGCCACATCTAATCTAGGCTTGGAAAATCCCTATCTGTAATATAATAACACCTTGGTTCACAGATATAATTGCTGAAAGGAAAAGCAATGACAAACATGCTTTGTTCTCAGAGAGACTTATATACTACTAAGACATACACAAAACATATATGCACATGTGTCACATATGGAGAATAATATATCACATATATCTGCACAGCAAAGCAGAATAAGGAGAAACAAAAAGAAATGGTCTTATATATAATATGGAGATAGTCTTGTACCTGAAGAAGCCATGTTTAGGACTCCAGATCCATATACTATGTCCCAGGTGAGAACATATTCCATGAATGGAAAACAGCAAGTGTTGGGTTTTCCCAAATAGGGGACTGTGAGATGGAATTTCTTTCTATATCTGGGAAAGACATATTCCCAGCATGTACTTGTAAGGTTCTAGGGGAGGCAGATTTAGCCTCAGCTTAGGCCCAGGTTAAAAGAAAGCAACCTTAAGTGTTGGCTGCTGTAAACAAACTGAATTTTACTGGTGCTTTTGTCACTGTATAGGGTGAAGTCTCTAAGCAGTCTGTCATGTGAACCATGTGACCTATCTTTATGAAAGGGGGATAATTGCCTTCTGTATCCTTACACTATGTTAAGTCACTTGTGTTTTTCTCTGTTCCTAAAAATTGTGCTTTTTCTCAGGGTATGAATATTTTACACAAGTCACTGTATTGGCAGCAAGAGTCATGAATATAGTGTACGTTTTCATTTCCTGTGTCAGAATAGAAGTTTCTCAGTTAATTCTCTTGATGCATCGGAAAAGGGAAAAGGAAATGTTAAATTATTGCACATGCCTCACTAAAGGTGTTTCTTGGAAACAATTAAGGTGGAATATCATTTTTTTATCATTTTAAGTAAGGTTATCAATTTATAAATTCCAAAAATTATGTTGTAAAATTTGAGATATTTTAACAAAATTTTATTGTTTTTTTTTAAATATTTTTGATATTCTATTTGAATATTTGATTGTACTTGAATTCCTATATTTATAAATATCTAAAAGAATATCTCATTTCTCTAATATATGTAGATAGTTAAATTGGTAGATAAATATTAACAGATTCAGATAGATATGATCAGACTTAGATAGCTATATATATATATATATATATATATATATATATATATATATATACATACATACATACATACATATATATATATATAAAACAGAGTATTTACTTAAATATTTGTATCTATAAAAAGAATGTTAAACATAAAATAATATTTCTTAGAATAATTGTTAAATTGGTAGATAAATATTAACAGATTCAGATAGATATGATCAGACTTAGATAGCTATATATATATATATATATATATATATATATATATATATATATATATATATATATATATATATATATATATATACATACATACATATATATATATATATATATATATATATATATATATATATTTTTTAAGACATTTTTTATGTTTCACATTCTTTTATAAATACAAATATAGAAAATATTCGTCCTCCATAAATTTCTCAGTCATTCAAGCCGGTAAATGATGTTTAATACTGTTTATTATAAACAGAGTATTTACTTAAATATTTATATCTATAAAAGAATGTTAAACATAAAAAAATATTTCTTAGAATAATTGTCGGACTTTGTCCATTTCATAATATATATATATATATATATATATATATATATGTTGTGTTCATGTGTGTACATAAAACAGACGGTCCACTTGTGCTTCTTGTAGTATGCAAATTGTATAGCCCTGTTAATAAAATTTGTTTATTTCTAGTTTCATTGAAAAAGAATACAGGAGTGATCAAAAAATCTGACATTAAAATCTTTCTCTTCTTGCTTCAATTTAGTCAAAAGACCTACAAATATATAATATATATTACATATATTATAATAAATATCATCAATACTCATTGCCAATATTATTATTATTTTATTGTCTTTTCTTTCTTCAAATTTCATTTACAGTTAAATCTATCTATCTATCCATCTATCTATCTATCTATCTATCTATCTATCTATCTATATATATATATATATATATATATATGTTATTTAATATATGTGATATTCAGTGTCAATAGAATGACTCAGATTTTCCAGTCCTGTGTATGACAATAAACTACATCCTAATCCTAAGTAAGACGATAAACTATGTCCAACAGCAAGGCCTCTGATCAGAAGGTTTTGAAGAGCATGGAACCACCTCTAAATTGTTCATGTTCCCAGGTCCACCCTGACCCATTAGGGTCCCAGCTATGGGCAAATATTTAACACCCAAACTTGTGTAAAAATAGGTTTTAATACCAGAAATAGAACGTAAAAAGTTGGATTGTACTCAAAAATATGAGTAAATGAAACATGGTTCAAATATATATATGTATACATACACACCTTTTTTTTACCAAACTATCGCTATGAATCTATTTAAAAAATTTTGTTGGCATTAAATAACCCACTGAGGTTGATATGCCATAAAACAAAACAACCAAGTTTCCTGCAGTTCTTACAATCTTCTAGTGCAAATATATTCTAACCATAGATAGATAGATAGATAAATAGATAGATAGATAAGTAGGTAGCTGTGAATGAGGCTTGGAGAACTTAATGTGAAAAAATGATTATGTTATTGAAAGAGAAAGTACTTAATTTTCTGATTCTAAGAAAATGTGACACATTGGAATATCAAAAGATACCTTCCAAAAACTAACTGTTCATATCTATTTAGCAGGAATAGTGAATTTTGGACAATCTTGTTACAGATGAAGTTGAAACTAGAGGCAATAAAATTGGTATTTGAATTTATTATGCAAGTAATAACTTGCAACATTGTTGGTATTTTTCTGGTGATTGGTCATGTATTTTCCAGTCCTTATTAATTCATGTAGGACTGTCATGTGACTAACATTCAATTATTCACTGAGCCATAGTGGTAGGATTTTCTATAACGGCAGCTTTCAAATCTTCTGGGTCAAGTCCTTTTAGATGACTTTTCCATGGCTCATCCTCTAGACTCAAATTCCCAATTTGGAAACTGAAAAAAAAAATCTTTTAACCTTTCAATGCACCGACCACATATGTTACATGGATTTGATGCTGACATCTTTATGAAGCATATAGAATGCAACATTTCTAATGTGTTTTTTAGTTAGGTTGATCACAGTTACAAGTTCCAAACTATATTACAAATAATATCCTTATAACCTGGTAGAGAAAGATATAAATTACAAATAGTAATACTAAGCAGCATAAAGAGGCAATAATTTAATTTTGTTCAACATTTTCACCTTAAAAATTGGACAGAACTTTGGTTCCGCCTTCATGTAACCTCAAAGATGAAACAAGATATTGTAAAATTAGTGAGTCATAGCAACCAAATATTGAAAATTACAAAAAACTTGAACAGAAAATTGCAGAAAAATTGCAAAGGAAATTGAAAACTCAAAATAAGAAAAAAAATAAATGTCTTCATGATTGTCACAAAAAGAGATTTGAAAATATTAAAAGGTGATAAGCAAGAAAAGTGAATTAGCCAGCAAGAAAATATTAAATGAGGCTGGAATTATAAAGGTAAACAGAAAGGAAAAAAAGTGCATGAAAACTGATTTCTTAGCAATAATTTTTAGTGATGAATAGAGAGCTTAAATTGGATAGACCAGATAGCTAGGCCAGATGTTGGATCCCTCATGGAAATAATCAACGTTGCTACAATTAAATTATTTCATTCAGTCCCCTGGCTTCGTGCTTATATTGTTTGGTTCACTTATTATTTTGCAAATAATTTTTCTCCACGTGATTATTTTTTTCTAGAAATCAGATCATGTCAGAAAATATTCAGTTTCAATTCATTTTATAAGCTGAAAAATTCTCAATGGCTGGTCTATTCCAAGTGGCACTTGTAATGGTGGTGGAGGGGCAGTAAAAAATAAAAGCAAAAATATATATATATATATATATATATATATATACATACACACACATATATATATATATATATATATATATATATATATATATATATGAAACAGAAATGTTCTCTTTTATACATATATATATATATATATATATATATATATATATATATATACATATATATATATATATATATACATACATACATACATACATACATATATATATATATATATATACGTGAAACAGAAATGTTCTCTTTTATATATATATATATATATATATATATATATATATATATATGAATGAAAATTTCTCCGATTTAACCAGTAGAGAAGACAATATTTATGAATAAAATGACAATAGGAAAAGTGGTAATTGCTGAGCGTTTTTAGTCAATGGGGACTTTAATCAAAGCAAAATATGAAATTTTCGTATTTTGCTTTGATAAAATCCACAATTACCAGTTTTTCCTATTGCAATTTTTATTCATACATATATATATATATATATATATATATATATATATATCCATACATACATACATACATATATATATATATATATATATATATATATATATATATATATATATATATATATATGTATGTATGTATAAAAGAGAACATTAAAGTCAACACTTAAAGGTGACAAGCTGTTTCATTCTAGATGCAGCCGTCAGTGGCCTACTCATTGCGTCTAGCATGAAACAGCCTGTCGCCTCTAAGTGTTGACTTCAGTGCTCACTCTTATATTTACACATTCTCTATCTCTGATATTGAGCTCTTTATCTCATAAATATACCACACCTTAAGATTTGTTTCTTCATATATGTATGTATGTAAGTATGTATATATATATATATATATATATATATATATATATATATATTTTTTAAATATATATATATATATATAGATCCATTTAGGTGAAAACCTAAATAGGTTTGTCTGGCTCACTAGGTGTATCTAGGTCTGCTTTACGGTTGTATTGAGCACTTTTGTTAGTTAGTTGTTTACTCATATCGGGGTTTTTTGGGGGGGCTTCAGACCTGCATCTGTGCGATTTTTTGTTGACAGAAGTTCATGTTTGTAGCTCTTTCTTTTGTTAAAACCTTTTTTCCCTCGAGATTGATTTGATTAGCAAATCAAAAATTCGAGGGTTTTTTGAAACGTGTCTAGTTATCTATATTTATATATATATATATATATATATATATATATATATATATATATATATCTTTTAAATATATATATATATCTGTTAAATATGACAGACTATTTTATTTAGTTTTTACAGCATCCTTACATTTTTTTCATTTAGGAGGGGCAAGGTTGTTCACCAATTGTTCGTACTGTACATATTATTCATCGTTCCAACCACTTTCAGCCACTTCTTTCGTCATTTAAAAAGGGTCTTTCTTTTAGGTGTTGTTAATTTTCTTAATTTTTCTTCATGTTTTTCACTGTTTAAGATGTATTCTATTTTTGTATTGTTTTGAATTCTAGAAAACTCAAATAAAAAAAAAAATTATTAAATTTTCCATGTCCATAATGAAACATGTTTAAAATAAAGGATGCTTCCCAAATATACATTAATATATATATATATATATATATATATATATATATATATATATATATATATATATATATATCCAAATGTAAAAGAAATAAGAGAATACAAATTCAAATGTTCATGAATTTAGAAAAAAAAGGTTTAATACATGAAGTAGAGCAATAAATATTTATTATAAACTGTTACAATTGAACATGTAAGTTACCCCAACAAAAAATATTTATTTCAATGTGCAAAAGACGTCTCGTCAGGCTGTTAACTGCCTGACTAGATGTATATATTAATCATTTCCTTGTAAGTCCATAATGGCTTTATGATTCAAAGGGGTTACTCAGTGTAAGGGAATGAGAAATGTATCATTATTACAGAGAAAAAAGAACAGAAATTATGAAGGCAGAAAGCCGCAATTGACTTTGAATCTAAATTTTTAAGATTAAAGTTGACTGGAAAGCAAGAAGTCAGAATACAGTTCCACTAGCAAGAGTCTGAGAGAAGAAACTGTTAGCATCAAACATGGTTTTATCTGGGTATTTCAAGGATAAAATATACAATATTGGGATAAACAAATACATCTGATAATATTGTGTTAATCAAATAAGATATTTTTCTACGGTGCATATACATTGCATTTATTTATAAATAAGTGCTTATATTGCACTTTGTTTGAATAATAACACTTGATACCTCCACTAAAAACAAATTAAGATATTAGAATGATCAAGAACCTATGCTGGCAGCAAATGGTATGCATGCACATTGAGAATGAGTTCAAAGAATATACAAAAATAGAAAGGGGTGTAAGGCAAGGATGCGTCTTCCCACCAGACTTATTCAACCTATACGGTGAGGCGATTCTGAGAGAATTCGAGATCCTACTGTGATTCATTGTTGGTGGCCACAATCTTACCAACATAAGATATGCAGAGGACACAGTACTGATAGCAGACACAGAAAAGAAACTACTTAAACCTCCTACAGAAGGTAGCGAGTGAAAGCAAGAAGGGTCTAACCATAAACTACAAGAACACAGAATGCATGTCCATCAGTAAAAGGATTCACCCAAAATGCAATTTGCAGGTTGGGGACACTAAAATCAAACATGTACGGAAGTTTAAATATCTGGGAAGTGTTTTGATGGTGGATGGTAGGTGTGACGCTGAGATCCGAAGATGGATTAGGATGACCAAGGATGCATTCCATAAGCTGGGAAAAATATTGCATGACAGGAGGATTTCTTGGTGACAAAGAAAAGCGTACTGAGCTGTTATGTTATACCTGTGCTCCTTTATGGCAGTGAATGTTGGATGGTCTCCTCAAAGATGAAGAAGAGACTCAAGGCAGTGGAGATGTGGTTCAACAGAAGGATGCTAAGGATATCATGAAGCAACGATGAGGTCTTGGAAAGGATACAGACAAGGAGGAAGCTTATACTTAACATAACAAGGAGGCAGATGAAATTATCTGAGACATGTAATGAGAAAGGAGGGCCTGGAGAATCTGATACTCACAGGTCAAATAGAGGGAAAAAGTGACAAAGGAAAGCAATGCATGTCATATCTAGTGGGCTTAAGTAAGTCGATGGTAGAACTTTTCTGGGGTAGTTGACAGAGGCACAAAACTTACTGAGAGCCACAAGGGATAGGGGGAAGTGGAGAGCCATGATTGCCTACCTGAAAGGACATGGCACATAAAAAGAAAAGAAATATAAGCTGAAACATGTGTGTGTGTGTATGTGTGTGTGTATCCCAGAACTCATTAGGGCCACAGAGGAACTACATTTGCTGCATCCATAGCAACAGTGGAGTCTCTACTGTATGATAGTGTTTTCAAGGCAAGAGATCACAGTATACACTGATATTTATCCCATAGATGGGGGAAAGAAGAATTCATACCGTTTACATGTGTATTAACATGAAGTGAACAGAACAGAATCAAGCAGGAATTGAACTCAGCAAGCCTAATTCAATTTCCATACCAATATCCATTACAACACCCACACCTCCAAATTCTCATGGTATATTTATTATATAGATATAAGTATATCCTGAAAATACTCCCAACTTCAGTTGGTTAATTACTATTCTGTCATCAGCATGGCTGATACTAACCTCCAGGAGAGCAGCAGTTTGCAATTTCTTGAACTCACACTTTCTACTGACATGAAGTAGAGTGAATTTTTTGCTATGTC